CAGTGTCTTGTCATTCGTGCCTACAGCAGCCACCATATGGGCTGGACACAGCTCTCTCTGCATTCTCCAGCCCTAGAAACAGACTCAGAGAGATCCAGCCATTGTCTGGAGTTGGTATGTGACGCAGCTGGGATTTGAACTCAGTAATATGAGTGGTGGCCAGGCTGGGCCTTCCGCTGGGAACCCCAGTAAGTCTCAGGTCTGTCTCCCAGGATGAGTCCCTGCTCTGGAGCAGAGTGTTCCAACCTCCAAAGCTGGGGATCCTAGGGATCCATACAATCACTACGGCCTCATTTCAGGGAGTGGATCCCAGAACCTGTATTTCAGAGTGTGTTTTTAGCTCTCCCTACAAATCTACAAAGTAGATTTGATCTTAATATGATTAACAGTGTCTTTGGAAATGTGACATACTGCAAGACATGAGTACTATCATTTGCTAAGCTTCACTTTTAGTTCAGTATGTGACGTTAACTCAATTTTTAACTTAGTTATTGTGGATATTGTTGGATGCTTTTCAAAATGTATGTTCCCCATTTTCCAATTTTAAAACCCCGATTTATGAATCAGGGTGTAACTATTTCTATGAGTGCAATTATTCTTTTTTTTAACGATGTAGATTATGTGGGGGGTTATTTGTTGAGATAGTTTCTCTGTGGTTCAGACTGGTTTTGAACTCTTTATAGCACAGGCTGACATCAAACTCAACATCCTCCTGTCTCAGCCTTCTGTCTGCTGGGACTGCAGGCATGTACCATCATGCTTGGTTTTGTGCCTTTTCTTTGCTTGAGTCCACAGCTATCTCCAGACATGAAATTTTTGGCTTAAATTGATTTCTTCTTGTTTTTTTGGTACCAGGGATCGAACTTGGGACCTTGCGTTTGTGAGGCAGGCAATGGAACCACTAAGCTAAATCCCCGGCCCTTAAACTGATTTCTTTTATTTGGATCATTGAATGGGTAAGGGATGAGCATACAGATGAATGTGAGCAATGGAAAAGGGCAAAGTCCATGAATGTACAAACAATATGGCAACTCACAGGGACACAGGTATACGATGCTGGGATTATAGGCCTGTACCACCACATCTGGCCCTATTTCACAATTTTTTTTTAATCAGAAAAAATAGACTGGATCACACTAGTTTATAATAGTGACCATCAGCAAATTGTTAAGATTGCGACTGATGAGAAGATACATAGATATCTGTCATACAACCATATCTATCCAGTCTTTGTCCTCATTTTCTGGAACACAGCTCCTAAAGCTCTTGGAGTCCCTAAAATAAGAAGTATCTCTCTTCCTGCATGCTAACACACAACTGGTAGCTGGGGCTGCTACCAGGGACTGGCCCTGTGATCCAAAGGCTGGAAACTTCAGTCCCACCCCTTCATCCTGGAAGGAAAGGGGCTGGAGACAGTGGTCATAGTGGCTGACTGAAGCCACCATGTCTTCTTAACCAAGACCTAAAACTCAGCCTCTGGTTGCTGAGCCCACAGAGGAGGTGCCTAACAGGCAGCAGCTCCTTCCCCATCCTCAAATGATGTATCTTTTTATCTCTTCATCTGTCTGGTCATTCATACCCTTTAAAACATCTTTGTAATAAACCAGCAATGTTCTGTAGTGTTTCCCTGAGGCTCAAGCAACCCAAGGTGGTCACGAGCATCTCAGTGGTTGACATGTGCAGGGCTTACCCAACCTCTCGAGGACAGCTTCGAAGCAGGTCACATGGTGGGCAGACAGCAGCTGGTGTGTGAGGATGCCCCACACAGTGGGTGCTGCAGCGAGGAGCCACAGCAGGAGCAACTAATAGGCACCAACAATGCAGTTGCTTTTCCTACAACACAGGTGCAGGGAATACAAATGGGATGCAGTGAGGCTCCTGACCAGCCAGTCTCATTTCATGCAGCTTTTCCACAGCTGGGTGTGATGGCACACACTGGGAGCCCCAGCATTCGGGGAGCCTGAGGAGGGGTTGCAAGTTTGAATGCCACAAGGACAGCTTCCTGAGACTCTGTCTCAAAGTTTTAAAAAGGGGTTGTGGCTAGGGATGTGCAGAGCACCCCTGGGTTTGATCCCCCAGTACTGGAAGAAAAATAAATCAACAGGCCCAGAGCAGTGCCATCATTCATCAGGAGAGCTTTGTTCTTCTCTGCGGCCGTGGTGGCCCAAGTCTTACCCTCGGTGAACAGCAGACTGCTGGCAAGGCCACTGGTGGGTAAGCTCCGGAAAACAGCAGGCCACTAGAGGTAAAGGTTCTGGGTTCAACTCCCAGTACCCCCCCCCAAATAAAACCTAATAAAAACAGAGGACACATTCAAATCAGGTAGAAATCACCTTCCTTTTAATTGAGTCATTAAATTCACAGTTTCCTCTCTTGGCTGTTACTCTGGTAATAATCAGGTCCCCACCTCTGAGAACATTACATCTGACCAGACTGAGAGCCAGTGTGAATGAATACAAACCCCAATCCAGGGCTCTTGGAACAATAAAACAAGAACAGCAAAAACCAGCCTTTCCTTTCACATAGAAAGGGACAGAAATTAGAGGGTCTAAACCTCCACTTTCCGACTAGAAAACTGAGCTCAAAGTGAATGGAAACCAAGTAAATGAGGAATGAAGTCCAGAACCCTATATGCAAGGGCACGGCGGTCTTGACCACCTGGCCTCTTCTATGAGGAATGGCCCCACCAGCGTTTTAAAGGAAGATGTTGCTGCTTCTATTTAACTTCTCAGAGGTATGAAAGCTACAGAAAGAGATATACATCAGAACAAATCAACTCACTCATAAGAAACATTCCTGGATAATGATTTTCTATAGCTGAGAACATTCAACACATTATTTCTGAGTGGCAAAATTCAGGGCAATCTGAGAGAGAGAAATCAAAAGTGGCAGCTACACTGGCTGACAGGTTTATGCAGGACGGACACACACACGCACACGTACACACACAGTGTGTCTGCCAAGGGGCTAAGACCCTGATCATCAAAATAAATTATTTTATACATTACAGTGCACAGACACTTTCTCAAGGAGTAACTAAAAGGCATTTCGCAAAAGGTCCACATCGCTCTGGAGTGGGAGGATGGGAGCCTGAACAATGGCCTGTATTAGCTGGATGCCGCCTCTTCTTTGGTAGCAGTGGCCTCAGTAGGAGCCGTTCCCTCTGCATGCTCTGCTGGCTTCTCTTCCTCCTCCTCATCTTCTTGGGGATACAGGTCAGGGTACTTCTGCATGCATTCCTGCATGGCCCGAAACTGCTCTACACAGTCCGACCCCTTGATGTCCTCTGTGCTATAGTGGAAGCAGGAAAAGGCCGACTTGAACTGTTCTCCACAGGGGCCACTGGCCATTCCCCCCAGGCAAGGGCAGTTCCAGTTAATGTCTCCATTTGGCAGTATCAGCCCTGGAGAGAGAAGCCAGCAAGGGAAAAGTCAGAGGTGCCCTCCAGGTCTGGTCCAGTCCTCATTGGCCTGGTGGTGGGGTGCACTCTCCTCTCTGCTCCCAGCCCTGGCTCTGGAACAGGTTCAAAGGCCTAGCCCAAATCTGGCCTTCATTGTCTTCAGGACAGGGTGTGCACCCCTCCCCCAGAGCAATGCTAACTGTGCTCTGCACCATCTCCCAGAGCTGGAGGCTGTGCTATGAGATAGCAATGCTGGAAACCATGTATGCCCTAGAAGTCAGCAGTTAAGACGTCAATGGGGCTCTCTGAAAGCCAGCTGCCCAGGACGTGCTGTGTGATGAAAAGCTAGTGGCTATCACAATAATGCGACTGCATTCTACAGAAAGCATTAGAGCTGAGGTGTGGCTCAGTGGTAAAGCACTTGCACAAGATGCACAGATCCTTAGCTTGATCTTCAGAACCATAAAAAACAAAAACTTCAAAAAAAACAAAAACAAAAACAAAAACAAAAACCCTAACCCTATTAAACTGTTCAAATGTATACAGGTGAAATTTTAGGTGGTTTTCCAATGTTACATAAGCCTCTTGCTTTTGAATTTTATCTTGCCCTATCTTTGAACTTTGCTCACATCCACGTAATACTGACAGACATAGAGATGGGACTCATACAAGTTTCTTACGTGAGGCTCTACAAAGATAGAGAGTACCCTTTGAAAGAGCCTCTACAATGCCCAATGAAACTCCTCACGACCTCCGTCCAGGGACAGGTCCAGGTGAGGCACTCACAGCCTTGTCCAAAGTCCTGGCCGAGCCCCACTTCTCCATTTCGGTCCTGGAAGCTGCACTGCTCAGTGGATCTGCTGCTACTGGTCCTCATGTACTGAGGAGGAACAGTGTCGACACCAACTGGCACTGCCCCTTCCAGGCCTGTTCACCACCAACATCAGCAACAGCCACATGGCAGGTTCCTGTGCACTGAGTTATACCCAGTGACCCAGTCATCATTAACCACCTTCCACTGCAGGCACTAACTTCCGTCTATGCCTGCGGTTTCTGGGCTTCGTGGGGTCCAAGGCAGGACTCCCACAGGACTCCCAGAGCCCAAAGACTAAGGCCCACACCTCTCCACCTCTGCCACTGCTTGGGAATCTCATGCTGAAAAACCATGGAAATGCTACCATGGAGGTGCACGCCCACTAACAACCTACACAGGTAGTTACCCAAAGGAGGCACTCAAAACCGACAGCCCAGGTCTGTGGGGACTCAAAACAAACCCATGCCGATGGCAGCTTCAATAAAGTAAGGCCAGATGTACATTTTTTAAAACCACTGAGAGGCAAAACAAAGCCTCGTTTGGACCTATGGTGGGCAGAGTAGGGGAAATGACATACAATTTATTTTTCTTTATAAAAGAGCTCTACTTCAAGGTTACTCCTATAGCTGTCATTCTCAGAATGCTAACACTTCGTATGCCACTGTTCCCAACAGGGCGTTAGATGAGGACGACTGAAAAATACATTTAATGTTTAAATCTTTTTAAAAGACTTTTCCATAATAAAAAACATGTTGCAATTAATCCCCTTTAAAATACTTTCCCCTCACTACCACCATTCTTGCTGCTTCCTGAAGCAGCTCTGAAGTCCTCTTTCCTGTGTGGCTTTAGTTGGGCTTTCGTGGCTGCCTTGATGTCCTGAATCGATTTAAAACATTCACTATTTACAGTTATTTTGACTTTGAGGAGTAAGAAATCTCACAATGCCAGAACTGGAGAATAAAGATGAGGACACACTGCATGCAGTATTTTTACCAGGCTGCCTTTCCTCAGGGTGGCAACATTTACCTCAGTTTTTATTTACCTCACATGATACTCATGAAAGAGGAACTGCTCCAGAAAGTGGCAAGAACAATGGGTTAAGAGTGTTGAAAGTATTTTGAGGGGGATGAACAACATGTCTTTTACTGTAATAATTTTTTATTTAGACATTCCTGATTCTACCACATATGCATACTTAGCTTTCTTCTAACCCAAGAAGCAAGGAGGGTGACAAGTGTCCCCTCTAGGAGTATGGACGCTATTTGAAAATGTCAAGCTCTTCAGCCATAGCTATCACCAGTTAGTACTAGAAGGCTTCTCAGTGGCCACCATGGATGTTAGGAGCTGTTTTGATGGTGAACTGACTACTGTTTGTAATACATGAACTGTGTGAACACTGCACCCACACCCTTCTTAGAGGGGTGGAGTGAGGGTCTGATGAGTCTGTACGAACACCTCTAGAGGTGTCCACAAGTGCTACACCCAAGGTGTGTGTGGCAGCTTTGACTAAGTCAGTAGAATCCTGCTGCTGGAAAACCATCTGTCTCTGTGCCTGGCGCTGGCTGAAACACTGACCAGGAGACAACAAGGACTCCAGAAATTTCAGGGAAAAGGAATGCGGCTGTCTGTGTACTTGCCTGGTGACACACTTGGCAGACGTGGCAGAACTCAGGCTGGTAACTTGGCTAACATGTGGGTCTGTCACTTGAATGTACCTGTAACTGCTGGAATCCACAGACACCCTTGCCTGACACTCAATTACTGGGAACACCCAGCTGGTTTAACTTAGTGCAAACATTCAGGAGAGAAGAGAACTTCAGTGAGAAGCTGCTTGCTGGCTCATGGTGCAGGTCCAGCATCTCTCTGAGGAGATGGATGGGATGGGAAGACAATTCTCAACACTGAACCTGCCCTAGGATATGGATGGTGTCGCCAGCAGGCCCTGTGATCACTCACCATGCTCCTCATAAGGGTCGTTGGGGTCATCAGCTACCAGCTCTGCACTGCTAGGAGTCTCGTGGTCTTCTTTGGTCACAAATATTATCCGGTCTTTCCCTAATGTTTGGAGAGTGAAAGGAGAAATATATTATTCAAGAACAGTACAGTCCGCGTTAAGACCAGAGCGGCCACACAAACCATGTCCTATATGCAGCGTCCATGCAAGGTGACCTTCCTTCCAACATTGCTCCCCTGGGTGGCATCACTGGCTCTGGAGGATGGTCCAGCAGCCACCTCTCCTGATAGCTTGAGCTGGAACAAAAACTCCACTGAGGCATCACATCCCACTTTCTGGGTGCATCCACCAGGTAGGGGATGCAACGCTCCAGCTCACCAAAGGTGACTATGTCAGCCCCAATTTGCTGACAGTCCTCCAGTGCAACAGGTCACATCCTCCTCAAGAAAGCAATAGCAGTTAGGCGTGGTTGTGTACGCCTGTAGTCCTAGTACTCAGGAGGCTGAGGCAAGAGAACAGCTGTGAGTTCAAGGTCAGCCTGGGCTACATAGCGAGTTTAAACCGGCCTACACTAGAAAGAAAGCAACAGCACCCCTGCCTCCAAGAAAGAAACGAGGTGGAGGCAGTCCCTTCTAAGGGTTCTCACAGAACCTGCTGTCCAAGTTGTCCACAGCACCAGCTGTGCAGGTGCAATCTCTCCTGTGTGCTGCAACTGCCCTCCTGCCCAGTGATCGCCAGCACACCAAATGACCTCCCAAAACACAGAGCCAGGGTGCTCAGTATCTGCATTGTGCTATGGGGCAGGAAAAAGGCTCTGAAGACAATGAATGCTTTGTATACCCTGGGGGTTTACCAACAGGGGTCAGAATGCACAGTGTCTGAGGAGGACCAAGGCCTGGGCAGAGGGAAGCATAAGGCAATGTGGGGGCCTGTGGGCTAATAATGCAGCCGGTCTGCCCAGGATAGTGATGTTCAGCAGCTGCTTTGAGAGACTGATAGACACGGGTGGCCTGGGGATAACAGGGTGAAAACCCTCCAGGAGAAGAGAGGGTGGTGGCAGTGAGGAATGTCACAGTCATTCCCTCGGCTAGCTTCTCCTAATGACAGGCTGGGTGAGCACAGAAAAGGACATCAGAACTGAGAGCAATGGAGTGGAGCATTCAAAACCGGTTTCACCTAAACCTTACAATGTCCTGTAACTATCACTTTGCCCATCAAGTGCAGCAGGAAATGAAGGTCAGAGCGGTTACCAAAGACCAACTGGGGGGAAGTGGCAGGCCAGGTCCCACCTAGCCATGTCCCTCACTGTCCTCCCCTGAATGCCATAAGCTGTAAGCCCATCACCCATCTTCCTGAACGCTCTGTCCATCAGCTGACCCACTGCAGGGACGCTCTAGCTGTTTCTACCATGGACAGCACCTTGCAATCTGTGCCCCCACACAAGGTGGGTGACGCCCCCCTCTCCCTGGCAGTCCCTGCAGGAGGGAGCCGGCAGATCCATCTCTGGTCCCTTTGCCCCCTCCCTATACAGAAGGGAACAGCCTCTTCCGGGACTAAGCCCAGGCTCTGGGCAGGGACTTGCTTGGGCTCACCCAGAGCTAGAGAGCCTCCAGAATGGTCCACACCCAATGCCCCTTGCCAGCAAGAGCAACAACGGCTGACTGGGTACCAGCACCACTTGTACACTGAGAACCAAGGGAACATCTGCGAGTGAATGGTGAAGTCTACAAATGGTCAGAAGACAGGAAAAAGTTCTAAGAAAGAGGGACCTGAAACAATCCCTAAAACAAGGAAGCCTCTGACCCTGTGGAATTTACCAGTTTTCACACCATCTCTTCTACCATGCCAGGAAGGCAAAGAAAGCATCACCTTGCTCCCTACTCTATGCCCAGGGGCTGATTTACAAACACACTCAATAAACATTTGCTGACTGACCCAGACAGGGTAGGCTCTGCATTAGAAAGAAAAAAACTGCCTAGTGGTGGCACACACCTGTGATCCCAGCTACTGTGTGGTCCTAGCTACTTGGTATGGCTGAGGCAGGACTCCACTTTCGAGGGCAGCTCAGTAAGACCATCTCAAAATAAGAAAATAAAAAGGGATGTTGTTGCTCAGCACTTTCTGGGTTCAATCCCTGGTAATACAGAGACAGAGAGGGGGTGGATGGGGTGGGGGTATCTAAGGAAGACCTAAAAGTGAGCTGTTTTCAATTCTCACTCCCAAACCAGGAACCAAGAAAGGTCAAGGCTCCAGGCCATGGTGTCAGGGCTACCAGCCACTCCTTCCCAGAGAACCCGTGGGTCCCAAGACTCCTTGAGAGGCAGTTTTACCATAACAGCCTTCAAACCCCAAAGGCTCAGAACTTCCTATCTGAAAAAGTAAATTAGACTCAGAGAAATATAAAATAGGACGGGGAGCAACTGCTTAAGCCTGGGGGGGCCAACGGATCCTGATTGCAGCAGGTGGTAGGTGTGTGACCCTTCATGGACACAGTGCTTACAAAGGTCAGCAGTGTCCAGAAGTGGGCTGTGGAGCTGGGTCCATATTTTAAACTGTACTCAGACTGGATGCATGACCTTGGGTAAGCCGCCTCCCTCTCTAGGCTGCAGATTTGCTAACGAACAGCCTAGACTCCGAACGAAATGATTTCTCCGTGAGTTCCAATTCTGTACAGGTGTTTTTAAAATTTCTGATACAGGGTCTCACTATGTAGTCCAGCTGGCCTGGAACTCGCAGCGATCGTCTTGCCCAGGGTTTGCCTTCGTGACTTTGGGTTCCGAGTGCCCACCGTTCCCGTTCCTTGTTGGGAAAGTGCTTCCTGTGCCCAAGGGCGGGAGGCCCGACTTCCAGTGCCCTAAAGGGTCGGGTGGCGGGGGCCAGGAGCTACCTGGCCTTGGGGCTTGGGTCGCCGTCCCCGCCTGCGGCCTCAGAACTCAGGCCGCGACTAGACCGTTCACTGGCCTCTGACTGCC